TCCTAAGAGAGGCAGGCAAGCAAGAAAGTTTACGACAAATGATCTGAAAATTCTAGATCTCAAATCGTCTTCCGAACAGGTATTTTCCGCAAATTGACGTTGGGTGCCCCTGTTGTTTCGGCTGCAGACAATGGCGAATGGACAAAAAGACGATAAAACTGAGACGAGATGCTAGACTAAGTGTTTACGGGCGACATTTTTATTAATTACTCCGTCCATGTGAGCAAAAATAGTCCTGAATTCTGTAGATTATTCCTTTCTTCTCCTGATAACGTTAACGACTGTTTAACATCATTAACAATAATTATGTTAAGGAATCCTGATTGCAAAGTGATACTTTGGTGTCGTTGCCGTGGAGTTTTTAACTGAAGAGCAGGCGGCCGCTTTCCCGATTGGAGTGTTATAGAAGGAAATTGCTCTCAATTCCCTAACTTTTGTATCTGAACCCAGTCCATTTTAGGCCTTCACTCCAACTCATATGAAGACGGGAACATCAGATAAAGATCGAAGTAAGCATGTTTTTTAAGCTGGAAATGTTTGACCGAATAATAATACACAAGGTAGTGGCTTTGGCTTTCCTTTTATATGAAGATTTATGCAGATCCTGGAGGGTGTTATTATTATTAAACGATCAAAAAGCATGGAATATATAAAGAAACTTCGAAGCATTTAAGTACAATGATATCTTTACCTCAAATTAAAGAATGCTTTATTCAGGCGTCAATCTGAATTGATTTCGTTTCTATCTTTAAGTTGTCTGCACTAAGATATTAATATATTTGCAGAGATGGTGATCAATGCTCAAGCTTTCAATCCGACAAGATGATATGATTAAATCAACTTTACAAAGCTTTAATCTTGTTATTGCAGTTTAATTTACACACTTGTTTATACTCTCGTGGCAATTCAAAGCCTTTGCAGCCGTGACGAGATTCAGTTTGTCCAGTTCAGCTACAACTAGAGGCGGAGGGGGGAGGGTACTTTAACTACCAGCTATGGGGCTCGATTTTTAAGGTTAAAATTTGTTTCTGACTGATTTAACGCCAATAAAGAACCAGGCTCAATAAGACCGTTACGGTTGGACATCTGTGATTTCCTACTAGGTTTAAGCCAAATTGCCATCCATTAAAAATTTTAATTGCTGCGATAATCTTCAGTTAGGATTTCTAACAGTAGCGCTTGCTTTAATTTACTGACAGGGTCTTAAAAAATGTTATCTGAGTCAACTTGTTTATTTTATAATAGGTACAAAAATGTCAACTGATCAAAAAGTGAAACGCTTCAACAAAGAAGGAATTATTTCTACCGGGAAGCACTGGTGGTTCAGTGGTAGAATTCTCGCCTGCCACGCGAGAGGCCCGGGTTCGATTCCCGGCCAGTGCAGGAGGCCCGACTTTTTCTCCTTTTTTTAAGTCAGAAGTCACCTTTTTTGTATTTCTACAATTAACTTGGAGTAAATTCAATAAAGCTTTAAAAAGTGCAATTTACAAAATAATGTAGCCATTGTTTTTACACTTATAATTGTTACTTTCTAATGTGCGAACGTTCAATGAACTGAGCCTTCAAAATACCTTAACGATATTCTGCTCTGGCCCAGATGCCACCACTTTTACACACGGCTTTTCAACTTCAAACCTCCTAACATGGCGTGTCATTCCGTCTTGTCTTTGATCGTTATTCATGTTTACGTCAGTCGCCAGGGGAGCAAGTTTCACTATCAAGTGCCGTTTATGTACAGAACCCTTTTATCAACTTTACTGCCTTTGTAATTGATTCATGCAAAGCATGGAAAATTTACAATTTTAAAATAAGACTTGGTGAGTGACAAAGTAAATATTCTCTTAACTGAAATGAGTAAACAGCATTAGGGCTTTGGTCAGGAAGCCCTTTGACGAAAGGAACAAGTAAGCAAAACTTAATTGAATTGACTGATTTTTGTTGTTCTATTGTTATTCTGCACGTGAACGCTAAGCACTGGTGGTTCAGTGGCAGAATTCTCGCCTGCCACGCGGGAGGCCCGGGTTCGATTCCCGGCCAGTGCAATCTTTCTTAATTTTGTTCGTTTTTGTTTGACCATGTAGAGAAAGCTTGGTAAATACTTTTGCCTCGTATCAATGTCGGCGAAAATTTTCAGTGCTCTCGCGAGTCGGTGCGTATTTTTCGCTAGTGTTTACTCAGGTGAAAGTCTGCGTAGTGATACGTTTTCCCAGTGGTACTGTGCATGGAATAGAACCCCAAAGGCAAAGTGATTTTTGCCCACAAATAAACAAAATAAAATATTACGCAAATTTGTTTAGCTATATTTAAATTTATTTTTCAGCAATTTTTTATTTTTTTTCGTTTTTCGCTATTTTTCAGTATCGTTCAGATCAGTCTGCCGTCGATTGTTTCAAATTATAAGTAGAGGGTAACAGTCCACGACCGTGTCGGTTATCCGTCCATGACAGCATTACTTTCTTCTCCTCATTGAAAAAGAAGCCAAGGTTTGGGCAGGAATTCTCGGGGTTGCCGTTGCAGTGGAATACTTTCGGAGGATGAAATGAAACTGCACTTAACTTCAACTTTGTTATGCTTTCATTGTCACTTTTATGAGAACGAGAATTCGTTTATGTTGTTTTAACGTTGTTTCCCACCTTCTGCCAAACCACAAGCTGACCGGTTTCCCTTTGTAAACGAGAAAGAACCAATTTTATTTAAAAACACTCATCTTAGCTATCAAAGATGAACATTTTACGTAGGTTGAATAAGTACTGCACTATTCAGTTACGTTGTTTCAGTCATCAAATATATACATCATGTAAAACTGAGTGGTTATATTATAAAACAATAGACCATTGATTTTTGGATGACCTGACAATATAGCTGGTCAATTAGTTAGAAAGAAATAACACTTTCTGCAGTGAAATAAGTTTACTTAGTGTGTGTCTTTCCCCGAATATATAATATATAGCCGGTTTCGCTTCCACAAATTGAAAGCTTTGAAGAACATATCCGTAGCATCATCGCAACTTTTGTTTTAACCATGTCAGCGAAATCTGACCCCATTAAAAAAAATTATTATTTTCTTTCGTCAAACCAAGAAACAGAAATTAATTTTGTTCATTTATTAAGCAGAATTTTGAGAAGAATACAGAATTTTGTGCAGACCTGTTGCAGATACTGTACATGCTCAGTTAAAGTTTTATAAAGGACTCGATCAGTTGAAAGATATAACGGCAGGTTTTGTCAAGTGGTTACAGCCTCGGTTCTTAAAAAATACGCATGCATATTATAGCATAATCATTGTGACTTTCCATTGTGGCCAATTAACTCAGTTATAACTCAGTTGAAAGAAAATTAAAACTGAAAAACCAACAACAACAACAACTGCAACTAACTTCCCAAAACGTATTTGACGAAAATTAACTGTAAACTACGTTTTATTTAATGATTTTTATCGTATTTCAATAAATGTAAATATTCCTCCTAACGGGTTTGAATTATCCAGTCGTGGATGACTATGCAATATAGCCAAATAATTCAAAAATTGTAATTATCAGCAAGAGAAGTGTTTTAAACAACACGGTACTTGATGAACTCAAGTTTTTTTTTTTTCAGTTTGTTTCTCAGGAATTTAAGCTCTTATTGTTTAGCTGAAATGCAATATTAGCGAATAGTTTAAAAGTGATTTAGTACTCTAGTTAAGTGTATAAATCAGCTGAGTACTTTAGAAACTCAATTCGTTTCGGTTTTTGTTTGGATTAGTGATTCTAATTGGTGTAGAAAGAAGTCGTGGATGAATGGATAACGCTCAACAAATGATTAAGAATTTAAAGTACACAACCAAAGGCAGCTTTTCCGATAAACACTGATAAAAGTAAGTTTGGCCAATTTGTGTCGCCGGAATAGCCCATCTTGCTTCAGTCTTGTCAGTGCACAGAAAACGATCAAAAATAGCAGTTGCTGAAAGCATTGTGCCTGCTTACTTCACTTTCACCATTCGTCCAACACTTTTCAACACATATGTCTGACGAACAGAGTTGGAATTCGCGGACAATTACGAATGCGAGTCCGCCACCCGAGAAAGGTCAGTAAGAATTGGTGTAACGCAAGCTAAAACTTAAAAATGGATTTAAGAACAGTCGTTGTTCTTAATATATAGGGTTTTGTTTATTAGTATTTCCAAACTCTGATATTTAAAGAACTAAAAGCGGGTAATCAAAATATAGCAATATGATAAATAGATTGGTAAATTAATTTATCTGACTTTCTTTTTGTTTCCTTTTTGTAACTATGAGCAAGTCGAACTCTCCCTTAAATTTGGAAATTTTGTTGTGCAGTTTCTCTGTTCAGCATCTGTTTATTGCGCGGCTTCAATCAATATTTCTTTTTAGAGCTGAAAAGCGTCTACTTTCGATCTACGCAACTGTTTGTAATTTCTTGAGAACCACCTGTTATCGACTGGTTTAAACACTGAAGCGGAACACTTTAAGTCAATATCAAACTGTTAATTAAAGGGTTATAGTTTTTAAGCCAATAGAAATCCACTCAATTCGTATCCTGGAGGTTGAAATTTACTAGACTGAATAACACATAATAAAACTACTTTTCAAAGATGTATGTGGTTCTTAAAACTGAGAATGGAGAGAACAACACTGAATTTTAGGTATATTGTATTACATAATATAGGAGTAATGTTTTCAAGGATTTTTGTGTTATTGAGCCCAGCACACTCAAACGGCATTGATTATGCCCTCCTTCGACCTCAGAGCATGAGTAACTATCTTTCTTTTATAGTTTAGAGGACATTTTATACAACAGGGAGTCATATCACCGTTTTTGAACATTCAAGCATAGTTTGAAACCATAAGATAAGCCTTCGGCTCTCAGTTGAGATCTAGGCCAGTAAATCAGAAAACTATATATTATTTTTTGTCGTAGTGAGCAGGAAAACTGCTGAGGATTCATTGACCAAGGGGCACAGTGCTGGGTGTCTTTCACTCACAGACCAGAAAAGAACAATGGCGAACTTTATTTCATCGAAGTCTGAAATGTCTAGGTCAACTGACAGTCTAAATGGTCTTGCGTTTAACGCAAGATACACAGACCCTGGCACAGACGTCATCGCTAACGTAACGAGTGTTGAAGACCTGAGAGAGAAGGTAACATTGTCATGGAAGAACATTAATGTGTTTGTTCCTCAACCGAGACCGTCTGTATGGAAACGGTTGTATTGTGGAGACAAGGATGACGAGCCGAAAATCAAACAAATCTTATTCGATGGTAAGCAATTATGCAACTATCTCAAAAATAATACGGGATCAGGATAGTCCACTGCCTTATATGCATTGCAATCAAAGACAATGATTAATTGACAGAAACCTATTACCCAGAAGGGGAAAGGGTTCTAGCACATTTGGACGTTCAGGGTATTCGCACCTGTGATTGTATAGATTTTGATAAACTGACATGAAGCATACAGAAAAAAATAAAAGAAAAAGCCACATGTCAACTTGACAAACGCTCACTTTGGCTCCTCTTTTGTTCGCGTTGAAAATTGCTAAGTCATTATAAGGAAAAAAGTGGGGCCTGTGAAAATGGAATACAGGTTAATTAGGTACATGCAACGAATCCCTGAATGTCTTGGTGAAGTCAAGCGCACAATCAAAATGGGCTGATGCCCCGTGCAAGTGATCAGGTGTCACCTGTGTTAGTTTCTGATTCCCGGTAAAATATCCTGCATGGCAACTGATCACAGACTACCCTTCGGCTCAACAAAAATAACACTAGGTAAAATGTGTTAATATGCTTTTATTTCTGATATACACAGTTAGTGGTACAATAGAGCCTGGAACATTGTTGGCTGTCATGGGAACTAGGTAAGCAAATGCGTTTGTGTGGGACGTTAGAGAACCCACGCACTTTTTGTAAAAAGTAGGGGTCGTAGTCCTCTGTGTAGCGGTCCGTCTCAAATCAACACTTACATACTGGGGGACATCATTACATATTCTTTCAATGTTACAATAAACTGCACCATAAGCAGTTTAGCAAAGTCCTCCAACTAGTGTTGTAAATTATCCCTGTTAAAAGTCCTGAGGGGAGTGAATAATAAGATAATTACAATTATATTTAGAGTAACAAACTATGCACAGAAAGTTATTACAAGAAAGCTTTCTTGCCATGATTTACATCTTATATAGTACAACGTGAGGGAAGTTGGATAATTTCTCAGTATTGCTACGTGTATACAGTAATTTTCCAAGAGTTATTAAAACTCATCTAAAAGACGAGTTGAAATTTTAGTTTCAGATTAATCCTTTTTGGATGGGTTGTTTTCTACGCGGTTACTCCAAATCCGGAGTTAAAATAATTTTTTTTTTTTGATAATTTGCACTTCCTTTGAGGTTATTTTGACTCGCCTACAAAGGAAACTTTTAAAACAGTTCTCCGTTTTTGTCAAAACAGCTCTTAGTGAAACGGTTAAATTCAATGCCACCTCAGGAGTTATTTATTCCTCCAGGAAGGCATAACATTTTTCTCAGGCAATAAAAAATATGAAACTGTTCTATATTTTTTAGTGGTGCTGGCAAGTCAACTCTAATGAATGTGTTAGCACATCGGAATATTGCTCAGATAGAAGTACGAGGAACAGTTACAGTGAATGGACATCCCGCTGGCCTTAATATCAATACTGTGTCGGCGTATATTCAACAGGAAGACTTGTTCATTGGATCGCTCACTGTCAGAGAACATTTGACTTTCCAGGTAATAATAGCCTTCCACGTATTTATTTGAATAAATTCGCATACCTAGGACTTAGCTTTTTCAGTATGCTATTATCACTTAATAATAAAATCTTATGATTGTCAGGGAATAACGTGAAAAAAGACAGGTTGTCCTTATCTTACTATAATCGCGGACGACCAAAGAGGACGGCCGAGATTCTTACAGACTCCAGTGACAGGTTGCTATCACATATGACCGGTACATATGTAGCCATCATTTGCTTGGACTTCCACAAAGAATGAATGGAAAGCACGAAACGCAATCTGCATTGATCACAAGATTCTGTACGTTCTATCACTCTCAATCTGATAACTTGCGTTTTTACCTTGTATTAACATGTGGAACATTCGCAAAGCACAGCGCTCGATCAAAACAGGTTCCGTCGCATCAATCTCGCCCACAATCCCTAACCTTTGGTTATTATTAGTATAATTATTTATTGAATTGCTTTTACTGTATGGAAGTATGTTTCTTACTTTACGAAATTAAATTTCGTTTAAACACACAACAACTGTTAATTTTTTTAAGGCTGCACTTCGTATGGATAAACACACGCCAAAGGAAAGAAGAAAGGATCGTGTCGAGGAGGTCATTCATGAGGTAAATATAATTATTATACATCATGGTAGGCCTGACGTTAGGGCTTAGGAGATAAAACGACTGTTTAGCAAATAACTCTAAGCCAGAAACGAGAGCCGAGTGACCTAACAATCCATTATTTATAACCAAAAGGGTTATTGCTTCCTTAGTTGTATATTTTTTGAGAACAAGGGTGGCGCAGTGGTGAGAGCACTCGCCTCCCCCTAATAAAGGCCCGGGTTCAAATTCCCGTGTCGACGAAATATATGGGTTGAGCTTGATGTCGGTTCTATTCCCTGGTCCGAGATGTTTTTCTCTGGGTACTCCGGTTTTCCCCTCTCCTCAAAAACCATCACTTCCAAATTCCAACTCGACCAGGATTAGACCAAGAACCACTTGGTGGATCTGGTAAATCTGAATCGTTATGTTATTTTGGTTCTTGTTTCTTTGCTTGCTTTTTAAGTCCTTCTAACTTCCGTTTCTATCACGCACAAGGAGAGCCAACAAAATGCGATTAAACTATGATACATGACTGATCCAGACAAGCAGTTTGTCGGTTAAGCTCGAGGTTTCCCGCATGTGGTTATTCACTACTGAATCACCGACTATTATATTGCCGCACTATCTTGGCTTAAAATTCACACTGGGGGTCGTAGAGACTTCCCAATATATTCATTTAAATACTGTATTAATGGTTGAAAATTTTGAAGAAAGACCCGACGAACTTTGTCACATGGAAAAACTAGAGGGTCACTATACATGCCCATCGTTGTCCAAAGGCAGGTGCATTTAAAACATATCCCACCTGTTACAGCTACAAAATTATGCTTAGTAGCCAAAGGACACCCAAGTATGAAGCAAAGCAGTCAATCAGTTCATTTATTTGCAAATGGATGGAACCGCTTGAATAAAGAGAGTTTCAGACGTGGAAAAGTATATTTGACCACTTACAGGGTGTAACCATTGTCCTTATTTATTATTATTATTTTTTTTAGCTTGGCCTAAAGAACTGTGCTGACACAGTCATTGGGACACCAGGGCGAGTGAGGGGAATTTCTGGAGGAGAAAAGAAGAGATTGGCATTTGCATCGGAGGTGAGTATATTGTTATTGGCCTCATCTCTAAAACATTTGAAGGATTCTAGAGCAACATTTATCCGCCTCCTGGCCTCAGTAGTGCAAAAAGTCTTTGTTGACCGAAGCGGAACGTCCACATCAAGCATAACGAGCACAGCTGCAACATGGCGGCAGCCTATAGGGGCAATAAAAGCTTGCTCAAAAAACACATAAAGCGAAAAACCGTTCAGTTTTCCTACTTTCTTTGGAAGCGACAAACTTTGCTATCGGCCTGAGTGTTGAAGCTACAGTTATTTACTTTATAATTTGAGTCAACACTAGCTATCTGGTGCTGAAAGCTCTTCTTCTCACCAAGTAGATTTGGCACCCTAAAACGTGAATGAATATGGCACGTGAATTAGAAACATTTTCTTAAACAATATTGGTTAACCCAGAGAAATACCTCTGAAAATGTCATATGAAATAACTTCAAACTAAAATACCCTTTCCAGGTTCTTACCAACCCACCACTGCTGTTTTCTGATGAACCAACGTCTGGTCTTGATTCATACATGGCTCAGAATTTGATAGCATCACTTAAGCGTTTAGCTGCTTCAGGTCGAACCATCATATGTACTATACATCAACCCTCATCTGAGGTCTACGCCATGTTTGACAGGTATCAGTAGTCAGTTAAGTGTTGCTTGTAGCTGAATTGTATATTGTGTTTCAGTTGACATCTGGCAGTGTCATTTAGTATGAAACAATGGTTTTACGGTTTAAAGAGAGGTTGTTGTTCAGCACAAAAGCTTTAAGAAGACTTTGATTGAGTCATATGCTCCTGGTCTGCGTAGATCTCTTCTGAGCGATATACTGTATTCTTCGCAACTTTTACCACACAAAGTACTAAAAGTATACAAGTATGGAAAGGACTGATCATTTCCACTGAACATTTCCAACTGTCTTAAATGAGAAATACTTTGCCTTTTTTTTTTTCTTTTTTAAGCATACTGCTTTTAGCTGAAGGAAAGACAGCTTACATGGGACCAACAGCTGAAGCGATATCATACTTTGAAAGGTACAATTAGTTTTTCTCTGGGCATCACAGGGAAAAAGAGGCTAAAAATAATCTGAAAACTAGCTGTCTATTATGCACTCACAGGCCGGGGCGGGTAGGGAGACTGGAAACAGGGTCATCAGAATATAGTCAAGATAGCAATTTCCAGTAAATAATACTAACTCGCGATGATCAGTACCGATTAGTTCTAAGTTAGTTGAATTTGTTTTCCCTGGCTTGGAAGATTTAAAATTTGACGTACGAAATTTGTTTATTGTCCCATGCAGCCTTGAGGTAACGTTACTTTTGTTGCTTGTTCATAAGTCAGTGTCTCCTAAAAAGCTACACTTGTGAAATGGACAAAGGTCAGAATGACTGCCTTTTGATATTTTTTCAGGCTCGGGTATCCTTGTCCAATGAACTTTAATCCTGCTGATTATTTTGTTAACACCTTGGCCATTGTACCAGGAGAAGAAGAAGAGTCCAAGAATAGAGTTAAAGTAAGAACTTTATTACGAAGAGGTTGCTCTAGGTATTACAACTTCAATGAGTTTCCACAATGTTATCTTGATGCGCCTAACTACCGAATTAATTAAGCTTCTTGCAGTGACGGATCCAGGGGAGGGGCCCCCTCCCCCCTTATTCCCCTTATTTTTAAACCAAACTGGGGCCCCAGAGGGCCGGAAAAAAAAGGGTCTAAGGGTCCAAGGATCTGGCTGACCCCCCCCTCACCTCACCCCAAAAAAAAATTATTATTATAATAACAATAGTAATAATAAATAAATCGGTAAAAAGACATGGAAGTCGCATTATGAATGGCACACTTCCATAGACCAGGTAATTATATAAAAGGTTTTAACCTTAATAAATACCTTTATTGGACATCCAGCTGAGCTGAGGCCTCTACTATATTTACAAGATATTCCAGATAAGTACAATAGGGACACTGTTATATGATCCTTTTTTCTTATTCTGATAGGAAATTTGTGATGCATTTAGTGAACATGAAGCGGTAAAGGCAAAACAAGAGAATAGCTGCAAGATCCAGGAAAAAAGCAGAGAACTGCAGGTTTGTTTCAAGTTATATCATTCGCAGTATAGACTGATGGCATTTGTCATAGTATGGTGCTAAGCGCCTTTTCGTTTTTGTTTTGTTTCTTTTTTGTATAAATAGTTTTTTTTTTAATCGCACTTGAAATCAATTGAAGCACCATTTTAGTCTTATGTATACCCTAGTCTATCCAAACAACCGAAAATCTATATTTAGGGTGTGCGTCATTTGTATAGCTGTCGAGAATAGGACCTAAAATCAAGCCACGAAGCCAGCTGCTCTAGGCTTTCAAATACTGGGGACTGCGTCAAGAAAATTAAGCAGGAAAAATAAAGAGAAGTTGTTGTCGTTGTTGTGGTGGGGAGTGGCTACAACCCTGCACGCAACCACTGTACTTAGATGTTACAGCTCAGTATTTGTAACCCATAACACATGAGACAATGTTCTCTCTTTCTTTTTCTAACTCTTATCTCCTTCGACACGTACTGAAATGACAGTTTTATTCTCTTCATTTCAGGGTGATGTCATTTTTAGCAAACGCTCACCGTAAGTGCTTCTAAAGAATTAAACATGTGATGATTTCCAGTATTTGTGTAATCATGATTAGAATTGAATAAGTAACATAAGTAACTGGAATTTGCATTTTTTAGGTACAAGGTGTCTTGGTGTCGACAGTTAATGGCAGTGTTATGGCGTTCATGGACCACTAACAAGCGCGACTCTCTTATTTTTAGAATAAAAATATTCCGCGCCATTGTAAGTATGCAGACAATCCGCTGGATATTTATAGCAACCGGACCAATTTTTTTGGCGAGTGGTTGTGGGTCAACAACTGTTTGCTCTTGAGATTCATTGATAGATGAAGTAACCTAGAATAAAGCTTTGTCGACCCATGTAAGGAAATCCGGAATCCAAGACTGTTTGCTTGCGGAAAAACTTTGCTTGTAAAATCTGAAATTCTAACTTTGGAATCTGGAATACAGCTCAAGGATTCCGGAATCCACTGGCAATTGGTATGCGGAATCCAAGTTCCCGCGCCCAAGAATCTCAAATCCAGCACCTGGAATCCGGCATCCACGGCGTGGAATACAAAATCCAAGACTATCTTAGATTCCTTTCCATGGAGCGAGCTTTGACTCAGTTGAACACCTAAGTGACTGTAGCATTTACTACATGTATTCACTGACGCAGGTTCTCTGATGAGCGCTTAAAAGCTGAAAATTATAAAGTCAGCTTTAATTTTAATTCTGTAGAATTCAGCGTTTTCTTTATCATATAACCATATTTTATTATTCTTATAGCATTCACTATAGCATTCACTCTACTATTACCAAACACAATTTTACATTTATTTTATTCATTTTTATTAATTTTTTTGCAGTTCACGGGATTGCTTGCAGGATTGATTTACTTGCAAATCCCATACAACCAAGATGGAATCCAAGACATTGCAGGGGCCTATTTCTTTCTTGTAGTATCGATCTCATTTTCAAGCCTGTATGGAGTACTGTTTGTGAGTATTTAAATCAATGGTGATCAATAGTGATTTGTCAAAATGGCGTATGCATATTTTTTTTTGTCAATAGTCCATTTTCGAGTTCGCTAAGACCGCTGAATTAGACCCTGTTTACATGGAGTGGGGGACCCCGGTCTAGTGGGGTAAGTTTCCTTTGTTTTGTGTCCCCCAGAGCGTGAAAACAAAAGAAACTTACCCCACTAGACCGGGGTCCCCCACTCCATGTAAACAAGGTCTTAAAGAAGTCAGAGCGCATTTTTTACAGCCTTAGCCTCCATCTAAAGTAATATATTCACAAATTCCAACGCGAAAAAGACCTGTTTATTATAATTATACAAACATTAACCACAAAGGACTTCAAAGAACCGCAAACGAATATGCCGAAGAACGTAGGATCTATAAGACCTGATCAGCAAAAATAAAATGTAGACATATCAAATTCTGCATTGCATTGCAGCATTGCATCAGCATTGCAGTATTCTGCTTGTAGAATTTAATATGTCTGTTAATTATATGTCTATTGTGTATATTCAAATTTCAAACGCTTACTTGCCAGAATTTCTGAATATTTTACTTTACATCGAGGCTAACCCTGTATGAATGTGTCGTTAATGTTTGTATTGAGCGGTAATTTTTAACTGGACTATTTACAAACCAGCCATTATGACTGAAAGTGCAACTTCCCAAAGGATATTGATAAAAAGATACATTTTATGAATGTTTTATGAAGTACTAGTTGCCTTGATTGCTGCTGTATGCCCCAAGGCCAAGTTCCACAGCTCTCGCCAGATTCCAAAGGGCTAACAGGAGATTCCTTAAACGTGAACATGGAAACCACACGGGCATAGAAAATTGGTAAACCTTAAATGTGGCAAAAATGGCAAACGGAAAGTTGAGTTTTGAGTAACATTCTTGACTTTTAAGAAACACTGAAAAAAAATTCCCGGACAGACAATTGAAAATGAATTCAGACCGTAAAGAATTAGGTCTCCTGGGACTCTTTCAAACTCCCCATCAAAATGTTGGAGATTTGGATCCTCTTCTAACTGATAAATGTCTTTTTTAAAAGGTATTTCCAGCAGAGCTGCCAGTGTTTTTGCGAGAACATAAAAACGGGATGTACAGAACAGACGTGTACTACCTGGCAAAAACATTAGCAGAGGTAGGTTTATCCCTGAAATGGTATAATTCACCAACTATGGAATTCCTCGTCATCATCATTGGCAGAAAAATCCTACGCACGCAGCCGTTTTGTGTCTTCAAATGTAACGACTCAATGAAAGGCTTTGGAAGACTATTCCTTCAGTTACTCACAGTCAAGTTAGGCGTCTAGCGTACCCCATACTTAATTGCTAGGTAGCTATTGTTTTGTGGTACGGATAGTATGATTTCGGTATCTTTTCAATCATTTGTATATTACGTCACTTAGTGATAGCAACACAAAGAAACTACCTAGCACATTCACGATGTGCGAACCAAACTGCACTACCAGTTCCGGTCCCTGGCAACCATGAATTAGTCTCTACAGTTCCCTGCTAGTAGATAGGTCCATAGCAGTCCTTCATTAACCCTAACATGGGAATTTTGGGTTTTTAAAGATGCCACTTTAAAGAATGAATTGAAATAGCCTATTGTGCAGTTCGGTGTTTCGGTGGTCATAGAGCTCTAGTATCGCGGGCGCCTTCTGTGAACCTCCGCTTCCCAGGTCTCTCGGAGTCGTCAGAACTAAACGTTACGGTATCAAAACTTTACCAAGACTTCCGTTGCGTTTAAAGAATATGACCTATATATGATTGTTTGCCGAATAAGGATTAATTTCTTCTTATCTGAATAAACCTCTTAAAATTATAAAGGATAGCTTTTCATGTGTCCGAGAGTATAGAATGAACACCTTTTCAGACAATATGCCGCAAGAAACCTATTCGATATATATGTAAGGTATAACATTCCCCTGTTAAGATAGGCGAAGTGCATGCAGCTTTACTCCCTTCAGAAACAGTGCCAAATCACTGTTTTTATGATCTATCCGATCATATGGATTTCGAAGCAACCCAAAGCTATCAGGTATAGTTTTGATGTATAGCCCTGTACTATGTTTCTATTTTGTTTAAACTATCATGTGTTTCTGTTGCATTACAGATACCCATTTTCATTGTTTCTACTTTATTACTGACTGTTATCTCCTATTGGATGATTGGTGAGTGCCCTTTCTTTTCCTTAATTCATTGTTAAACAAAGTTTTGAGAAAAGTGCAGCTTTAACGTTCGGAAAAAAAACAATATGCAAATCATTGAGAAACACTATACTTATCATATGAATCGCTCTGATGAAGACCTGGAATCGTGCGAAATAACACACAAAATTATGGTCTCAAAAGTGTAAAACTTCATCTTAAAAAGATTGTAACGCTCATTTGAATATCGACTTGAATTTTCACAGGTTTCCGAGATGACTTTCTCCATTTCCTTGTGTGTTGTGGTATCATGTGTCTTGTTACAAACGTCGCTGTTTCGTTCGGTGAGTGATTCCTGATTGATTTTTTGATTACGGTTTCGATTAAGTGGTTCAATAGTTCGACTGTCAGTTGTTTACTGTTGTATTCATCTTCCGTCACAGAATGAGTTTAAAATCATATTTTCCATTCAAGCTAGACTCGGTCTCAGGCCAATGGGACGGTGTCTCAATGCATCCGCGACGTGAGGTTTGGAGAATCGCGGGTGCATTGGGTATCCATGGCAAGAGACTGAGCCTACATCCAAGCCATTGTCCAAAGGCCACCTTTCGCTCTACGAGTGTGCGGAGGAGGGTTGAAACAGACCGCACTGGTGCATGGGATACAAGGATCCATTTACAAAGCAGATAAAACTGATTACAGGACAAAGGAAATATTTTCGTCATCAGTTGAGCATATTTGTTCCGGCCGAGGATCAAACCCACGACATCCGCTTCACAGTCCAAAGCGGTTTACAAGCTTGACGTTAGCTGAGTATTTTGCTTGCTTGTTTCTATAGGTTATATTGTATCAACGATGGCGCCGACCGTCACTGCAGCCACATCCCTTGGTACACCCCTCAGCTTACCCCTTCTAATTTTCGGCGGGTTCTTCCTCAAGAATACGTAAGCAAAGAAAATCCAATGTTCATTTGTCTTTTTTTTTTTTTTTTTTTTTTTTACCTGAAATACATGTATGTAAAGTGAAGTTCAAGACAATAATGTGATTACCTGAGTGTTTTTTTAAAGCCTTGAACATCAAGGTAATTTATGTTTTCACCCGTTCCTTTCATAACAGTTCTGTACCTGTTTATTTTGTTTGGCTCAAGTACATATCATGGTTTATGTACGGCTATGAGGCTCTTATCATCAATCAGTGGAAAGATTACGGTCAGATAGGTACGTAGTCTCTCTGGTACCTCAGAGTAATTGTCGATAGATATGTTTTTCCCCTCATTTTGCACATGACCGAGGCAGGGTTAGCTCTGTCACCATACAGGACTGGCCTGTAGAGGGGCAGTTCGCAGGCTCGGTTCCGAGGCCGGACCAAAACTCAGCGTCTTAACTAAAACGGTACCGCCTTTGCCCTGTAAACGGCTACACCTTCACGTGACCAGGGGTGGTTTCGCCTCCAGTAGGAAGCGTACAAAACGATAGAACATTTTCGATATATTAAAATTCATACTTGGCTCCGAGGCCTGGGGGAAGAAAACAAAAGAATTGCATTATTCATTGCTGAGCCTCAAGATGATTCCCTCAACCCTGCAGCCAAGTACATCGGAATTGGTCTATTTCCTTTAATAGTATTTGCGCGCTAATTTTTGTGATCTCATCTACCTAGAGAAAAGTTAATATTTTTGCTCAGCTCAACCACTTCAAAAATCAGCTAAAGGAACCGTCTAAAGAATATTCATGAGACCTCTCTGATAAAAGGGGCCGGCTCGATGCCCGCGGCTCGATGCTGTTCACTCTTATTCATGCAATTCCCAACAATCACTGACTAATAATTCAAACTATAAGCATAATAAAGGAGGCTTAATTGTCCTGCCGTTATAAAAGGTATATAAGAAGATTCTGATGACAAGACGCGTAGCATGGTTTGAATCGCGTTGCCTTCCTTTTCTATAGGATGTTCAACGAATACGACCAGATTGTCATCAGGAGGGGATGGAACGTTTTGTATAGCAAATGGTGATGAGGCAATCAAGTTCCTTGGTTTTGAACCTGTAAGTACTTAGCACGCCGGAACCTTTTTCTTTCTTATTCGAATCTTATTTTTTAGCTCGAGACGCAGTCGGTTATTCACCAAACTTTGACTACAGATAAAGAGGAAGTAAGCAAGCGTGAGAACGTGGTATCCATTCACTTTCTAGCCTGCGTCACCCTGTCGGTGAATGCAGAAGAGCGAAAAAAAGTGTCGTGAAAAGAAAAAGCAAGCGAACGTTAAACGACCCCAGACTGCGTCCAACAAGCTCCGTTATTTCTTGTAGCCTGGAACAGGCTATTTTCCTTTTCTCGCAAGCTTCTGCTATGCAGGTTTCTCCAAAGCAGTGACGTCTAATAAAGGCAAAATATAGTTATTCAACTACGAGTCTTACGTTCAGTACCCTGGAGGTTGGATGAGTCAAGGGGATGCTGTTACTTCGAGCATTCATAGCATATTAGTATCAAACCAACTTAACAGCGTATGCGGTAAAAACGCTTGAACTAAAAAAAAAAGGTTCATTTAATATTTCCTACTTTAAAAATAATCCAAACAAGGACTTGTATGCCTTTTTTTTTTTTTGGAAAAACTCTATTTTTCCATCACTAATCCGCGCTGAGCTAAATTATTTGGGTAGCATAGGCCAGGTCATGCTTCTTTGTCCACGCTGTCCTCATATTCTGTTCTTTTTCTCTATTCTGCGAAAAGCACAGTGCAACTCACGACAACTCCTTATTATCTCATTGACCTTTGTTTTTGTTTTTGTTTGTTTTTTGTTTATTTTTAGGACAATATCCTTTTTGACATCTTCTGCCTCATAGCGCTAATGGTTGGATTCCGAATCATTTCTTTCCTATTTTTGTTGAGGAGAGCTAACAAGAAACAATGATCACTTCAATGACTAAAAACAGCAAGCAGATCTTACTAGAGCAGCTAAAGTCGAAAACAACATAGTTGATTATTTTAGTTCTTAGAATACAGATTTAAACCCGTACAAAATTTAGTCTGTAAATATTATCAAAGCCATGAAGTTATTATCGTTATTTTTTTTTTATTTTTATCCACTGGACTCGATCGTTTGAGCCGTCATATGAACAGAATAGTTTACATGCAGCAACACCTGTACAGAATAGTTAACATGCAGCAACGCCTCAAGTTTTTTTCTCTAGACAAGTCATTTGAATGAGGCTTACATTTTTTTTCCTTCATACACGCGTTGACCCTCAGACGTACCGCTCGACAAAGCAAATACCAGTAGAAAAAAATATATATACATTAGCGGCGGATCCAGGAAAGGAGCGCGGCGCACACACAAAAATATTTAGACCAAGCTGGGCCTCGAAAGGTGTAGAAAATCGCTTTGAGAGTAGCTTTAACCTTTTAACCCCTTAATTCCGAGAACTGATTGGCATATAACGTCTCCTTTTTATATCCAATACATTGTCCAACAGATAGGTGGTGAGAATAGGCAAATGTATCAGCCAAAGGTTACCATACTGATATAACCCCAAATTCTCTTAACGAATACACAATAAATGTATAGCAGCCAAAAACTAGAATTACTGGTCAGATCTTGGGAGTCAATTATAGGGTTAAAAGCTTTCTGTTTATGATCTAACTGCGGTTATGATCTTAATTTAATAATTTGTTGGACTCTCTATAGGCTTTTGTAATAAACTGAAAGGTACTTATTTTATTATATTATTATTTCTATGACATAGGTAATCATTTACATTACGACGTATAAGGGTAAAATAGTCTGTGGTCAGCAGAACATGTAGAGATCGTTGTAAATAAGAAAAAGACTTTAAAAAAAAAAATAAACTGCAATTATTAAACCACCACATGAGCAAAACACATAACTAAAGAGCCCATTTTACAGTTATGGGTAGAAACAAAGTGGTGGTTGACCTTGTTTTGATACAACCCTTCCCGCTTTATTTTGTAAATCATATTGTTCTTATAACTAACAAACATAATTTCCATAAGAAAACAAAGGAAGTTTGTATCAAAATAAGGCTAACCTTAACCTCACATTCAACCGAAGGCTAGGATACTAAGCCCACAAACGTTATATAGTCTATTGCAAGCAAAAACAAAAACTTCATTACGTAGTCCTTTAGAGCGTATAACGAATGAACGAGGTTTCTTGAACATGATAAAACTCGATACAAAAAAGCCTCGCGGGTAAGCGCTTTAGATTAACACTTGTTTTCGCACAGACAGAAAAGTCAGTACGTCGCTCATAGGAGCCTGAGGGATTATGGAAAAAGCTAAGGTACACACAAAGGGGTGGTGGGGAGGTCGTACCAAACTTGCCCCGTGCTCGACTGTAATCCACAACACGCGGCATTCCCCAACCCGTTATACGAAATATGCGACGTCTTAAATGCAGTAATTCTTTTGGCCTATCATTCCCCTGCTCCTACACTTCCCATTTACTAGTAGAGACCTCTAGATTCTAAGACGAGGAGGACTAAGTAGTGCTCGCGCTTGAAGCAGCGTCATTTTGGCGGGCAACTGTGATAGCCGTTGTCACTATGAGTTTTAGCAAATGTCGCAGTGGCGAAACAAGTTATCAAATGTTAGAGGTTTTAGCATTTTGCACCCGGGAAAGGCTTTAACCTTCTTCAATAAAGGTAACTGTACTTATTTCTTGGATGAAAAAAAAGCACAATTAAGCTTTTCCAGGAATCCATTTTTTAGGAATACGCGAGAAATATTTTCAGTCAACACGTTCACGTAGTCGTTGTCGTCTTCGAATCTAAAGGTCTCCAGTGTTAGGAATTCGAATTAAACAAGATATGATGTAGTAAGACCTGACACACAAACTCTAAAGCCTGGATTTCACTAGCGCATAAGCGTAAGCATAAGCACAAGCACGTGAGTAAGCAAGTGGAAACTGGGTCGACAAAAGCATAAGCAAAGCACAAGAAAAACGGACAAGTTCGTTCTTCTTGTGCTTACGCTTATGTCGTAACTTTGACTAGCGCAAGCATAAACACAAGGTCATGTGTAAGCAGTGAGCGTCTAGTGGTTTTGATATTGTTTTTGTTTTGGTGTCGCAGGTATAACTAAACAGTTTTATCCCGCTTTAACTGTATACTGCTTTAACTCTCACATGGAACATATATAGCACTTCAAAACCTCTCTGACAGTACCACCGTCCTGAACTACAGTAATCTTATTATCAGTGACAACATCGCCTTCATCATCATCATCATCATCATTACCTCTGCCAATACTGCCGTGGTCGTCGTCGTCATCATCATCATTATCATCATCATCATCATCATCCTTTACATCATCGTCATCGTCATTCTCATCATTATCTTCGCTCTGCAGTACAGCAGTGTAACCATCTCTTGCATCCCACTTATCTCCGTTCATAATGCAAAAGTTGTGAAGTACTGCACAGACTGTTGTAGTTTTAACAGAAAAGCTCATACTGTTGGTGTCCAATCGCTTCGCTAAAATCCCCCATCGGCTTGTCAAAACTCCGAGAGCACATTCAACAGGTAATCTGGCAGCAGATAGCTCTTTGTTAAACGCAATCTCTTCTTGATCCTCTGTTGAGACTGGAAAAGGTTTCAGTAGCCATGACCTGAGTGGATGTGTGTTGGCTCCGACGAGATAAGGCCTAATATTTTGACTCCCAAGCTGAGCAGTGGGGTTTGCAAGGATTTCACCTTCCTCCGCACGTTTGTACAATGTGCTATTTCTTAGGATTCGCGAGTCGTGCAGACTTCCAGGAAATCCGGCCGCGAAATCTAAGAACATCTTCCTACCATCGACAACACCTTGAACTATAAAATCATATTGCTGATATCGACTGAAATAGTCTATGGCGCTTTCCGCGGGTGGCTTTATCTGAATATGAGAGCAACCAATCGCTCCAACAACATTTGGAAGATTACTCAGTGCCGAGAATTTTTCAGTGCAGGATCTGGTCTCTTCTGTGCTTGCTGGAAATTTTATAAGTTCGTTTCTTAGTTCAAACAAGGCTTCAGTGACATCTTGAATTGCCTCAACCGCCTTACTCTTACCAACACCGAAACTGGCGCCGATATTAGTGTACGTGAATCCATGTGCCAGACGATAAATTCCGATAGCGAGAACCTTTTCGGGAGGAATCCTGTCACGCAATGCGGTGTCTTGTCTCGAGAGTTGTGTACGAAGCAGATTGAGAAGCGCATCAAAAGTACACCTTTTCATTCGAAGCTGTCTTTTGAAGAACTTGTCCGGGATTTCTTGATTTGTCAAGTACGTTTCAAACCACAGTTTGGCAGATGGTCGCGACAATCGACAGCGACGATACTGATTATGTCTTCGGGATCGTCGTCTTTGTTGGCGTTTTCGCTCCATCGTCTGACGACCAAATTCTAACAATATCAGCTGCATATTTAGGCTATGAAGTCTGTGTATGCAAAAGAGATTGAACATATTTGTCATGTTAACCTGCATACAGGTTAAAAGACATAACATACCAAGCAGAGCGGCAATTGTTTCGCGACGTTCCATGTTAGCGAGCAAGAAATCAGCTGTAGCGTGACATACTCCCGGTAGGTACTTTAAGTAGGGTTATTTTAGTGTCTAGCGGTAGTCGCTGACATGCAGGGGAAAAAGAGATGCCTCTTAGGGGTTGTTCAAAGCTATTTCAGTTACAAGTCAGTTTTGTTGTTGTTGTTGGTTTTTTTTTTTCTTTCAAATTACGAGGACACAGATATGCCAGTACTTTCCCTTACACTTTAAGGTATAAAGTTATTGCAACTAAGGGATGCAAAAGAAAAGAAAAATTTCTGAGCTCGAGATGAAATTCGAACTCACGACCCTTCGAGTTCTGATCAATTCTAGATGAATGGCATCGCACGATCTTCCTTGCGACAATTTTTTTAAACAATTTTTGATGGCATCACAAAGCCCTCACTCCCGTCAGCCTGTCCGTTTTACATAAGTAATACATGTATATGAACTATGAATGCAATTATGGCTCAGTTACTTCCAAAGGTGCCCTCCCTCCCCGGACTCCCCGGGCATTTGTCGGCAGGGACCGACAAGATGATAAATGCCCGACAAATGCCTGGAGAGGTGGGGTGGGCACGCTTGAAATTGACTGAGCCATTACTTTACTTTAAATTATTGCAATTATTAGGGCTCACAAACAAAGAAAATGCGTGGATTGGATATACCAGTTCCTCTATTTTATTATTATTATTATTTTTATTATTTTTTTTTTTTTCAAATTGCACGCCGGTGAATTTAAAATAGCCCAAACAAAAGCCCAAAGGGGCGGACACCTCTCGTACGCACACTTTGCTTGTCTTTGCGTTCACATAGCTGATACTGTTTGAAATGATTATCCAATTCTTTCAGATACTAAAACAAACAAAGAAGAAACGATAGGAAATGGCGCTGCTCATGTCTGTAACCTGCGTGGCAAGTGCAAAAAAAGGGGGAAGGGAGAGGGAGAAAAGCGCGAATCTCGGCCCCTCCGATCCTTTTTCACTCCTTTCCCCTCCCTTTTCGACGCCTGCCACGCAGGCTTAAAACATCTCGGGTCCAAACCCAAATTTAAAAGAAAAAAATCTGGCCTATTTTTGAAGCCATTCTGGTATATTAAACACTCTTTTTGACGGTGCATTCGGCTCTTATTCGATGTAAAAACCTGCGAAAATCACGAGTGACGTAAAACAATTAATACAAAGAAGCCAGAAAGAAGTCAACACAATAGAGCCAAGGAAAATAATGGCTAGAAAACAAGGTAAAACTTTACTGGTTTTTGCACCGAGGGTGATCCGTGCATTCCTAGGGTTTCATGGCCCTGTTGCCGGACGAGAGTGTTTTCAACCCGGGAGGGGAGAAGGAGTACTTGGGTTAATTGATGGTATGTGCCGCCGGTCTCTCAGAACCCCTACCCATTATAACATTATAGTCTAGTCTGTGGCCAAATATAGACCCCATGTTAGTCACTTTTAGGAAAATGTAATTTTCGCGATCGCAACTTAGTAACCGCCTGTCTTTTTATGCATCTACTTCAAAAAAGCCTTTTAGCAAGGTAGGTCATCCTATAAATTGACACATTGGTTAAACTTAATGCAGTAAAAATCGCTCCATTTTTAAATCCTTACCTACCTGAATTCTCTGATCCCCCAGATCCCAAAAATGTACGATCCTATTCTAGTAACTCTAATAAAAATGCAGCCCCATTATAGTCAATCCAGTCGTGAAAATGCAACCCCATACAGCGACACATCCCCATTAGCCTATTACTAGGACATATTCCCCCCCCCCCGGAGGAGTTTACAATCACGCTGGAACCACTCATTTTGAGGACAAACAAAATCCATGTGCATTTTTTGAATCTGCAATGATGAAGGAAGAAAACAAAGAGCCAGCAGCATAAATGATTTGATACGTTTTTTTTTGAGCCAGTTATGCCCTGGGGACCAAGTTGGCGTTATTTAAGTGACATAACATGACCTCTCGCAAGAAGCCGAAATTTAAGTAGCACTGTCTTGCTTGACCGGCTGCTACCGCTGTGGGAGTGCGTCCTGGAGGATCGAGAAGCAAAGAAACCACAGTCAAGTAGGTTTAACCATGGGTAAAGGAGACGAAAGCAAGGAGTCCCTGCTTCCCCGTAGAAACAATCCCAGGAGAATGGGATATTCAACATTTGACCCTGGAGCTTCTGTGGACAGTGGGCTTTCGTTCAGTGCGGAGGAAGGACAAGATGTAGCACAAATTTCTAGCCAAATAATCACCGAAGAAGCGAGGGAAAGGGTATCAATTTCATGGCAAAACATCGACGTTTTTGCAGAAGTGCCTGGACCTTCCTTCTTGAAACGACTGTGTTTTGGGACCAAGGAGAATGAGCAACCGAAAACCAAGCAAATTCTATTCAAAGGTTAGTAAATACGTGTATTTAACTCAACTTTTTAATCGACGGTTTGGATAATAGTATGATCTTATGAATATTCAAAACAATTGTGCTAAGAATTACTCCAGACTCTTGAATATGATTATTAGACTTGTGCTGTTCGAGTTCCGGACATGTATATTTGTCAGATATATTCGATATTGATATACGTGTATATATCCCCCCCTGTAGAGATTATGTATGGTCACTCAATTTAAGTGCTTTTATCCCGAAACGTGACCATGCATTCTGTATTCTCCAAAGACCTCTTTGGCTTGGGTATGTTTTGCTTTCCCAGTGAAGGTCTCAGGGGAATTTGCTGGTTTGCCTTTTCATAAAATAGGCATACATATTATGCAGGAGAATAAGACAACATATGAAACAGTTTTCTAGAGTTTTATCACATGACCTATATTGGGTTAACAAAGCACTTTAGAGAAAAGAGATCTAATTCGGTTCTATCCTATTATAAGGTCGTATAATGTATCCAAGTTACCTTTCTTGTTAGATTTTCACTTGACGAGCGGTCTGTAAATCGTTTATTTCAACTTGAAAGGCTCTTAGCAGTAAGCACATCATGTGGGAAGTGCCTTATGAGATAGGTGCGGATATGCTTGTCGCAAAACAAGAGTGCAACAAAAGGAGACTAGTTTTAACTCCTAAATACCAATGAAAGACAAACCGATTCAGTTCAAAGAGCTATGGTTATTTTCAACGGCCATAAAGAAGTTGTAATTGAGCGCTTTCTTCTTTTCTTATTCCATATTAATTTGACCACGAGAAATATTGTCCCTAATGGATAGTAGAGCGCGCGGTTCCTCGCGAGTGTCAATAGATTGTCACGCGCGCTCGAGTAATCCACTCTCTACTATGGGAAAATGCTGGACTCCTATATGATTTTCTATGTTTATTCTCGCACAGTTTTGAGCGTTCCCATGGCTAAATATATTGCTACTCTGTCCGTTACTTTCCAAATGATATATTATTTTTAATTGACATCCCCCGGAACGAGACGACCAGATTCCCTTCTTCATTTCATACCAGCGCCCCCCGGATAGGACATTCACTTCAGTGATGTGTTATGACTTGTATCCTGTGAACGCTTGAGATGCTAAAGAGAATTAAGACTTTCCTCTTAAACATAGAAAAGACTCGTCATAATGCCATATGGTCTATTATTCTAAAAAAACTTTGACACATGTGTTTGTTTACAGTTTAGGAGCAAAGGCAAAAAATTTCCTGCATTCGCCTTTTAAAACTTTAATTGCGTGACTCGTAGATGTGATCCAACTAACCACATACCTTCCGGTCACACTCGCGGTAGAAATCATCTCCAACGCTGTTCCCCGTTCTCACGGGTTGTAAAATTTTATTTCGAACACAGTTTGTACGGTTCGCACTGTTGGTGACAGCAACCAAAACGTGTTTCAAGGTGACGGCTGGGCTTTCTAATATTTCTGAATTCAACACATTGCAAAACATTAAACTCACAGCAATCAACATTAAAATTCTCCGCCTAAACCGAGAAAAGTGCTTTAAATAGTCGACCACAAAGATCAAGTTGTGAAAACGTTGTTTCCTGAAGGGACAATCCGCAAAACCGCGATTGCATTTGATCACCTTTCCTTGCTCGGGACCGCTTTCAGTACTCTCCATACTCTTATAAAGAATAGCGGCGGATCTTCTGAAGTTTAGTAACGTTAACGCTGCCTTCTGTTATTAAGCAAGCAAGCATTGCCATGCTTGGCTAGTCACATTTTACGCGAGCTAGGAACGTGCCAAATGAACAAAAATAAGCCAAGCAAGCGCGGTTTTAGCGCGAGCGTGACCGAGGAGATGCAACATAAGCTTGCACCCTTTCAATTATATGACAGACATTTCTGCATGCCTGAGGAGACAGTCGACATTTCGCGGCGCTACCATGCATTCGGTTTCCCCCAAGAAAATTAAGGGGGAGTTTACATGAGAAAACTCGCACCGGCGCGAGTTTCATACCGGGATGACTTTTTATTTCGTATCGCGTTATGATTGGGTCATTTCATATCTCGTTATTTGAAGGTACACTTCATTTTGATCAAATACACGTAAGATTCAAAATCGGAAACATTACGAATGCGCTACCCGTTCCAGTCTACCGGTAGACCGATTTCACACCGTTGCGAGATTTCGTACCGGAGTGAAATTCTCGCCCTGGTACAACAAACGGGGTGAACTCACGCCTGGGTGACTCGCGCCGGAATGACATTTTGTGGTGGTATCATATAAACAAATGTAGGGCCATTAGAGGGAACCGGAGTGAACTCACTCCTGTGCGAAAGTTGCCCCGGTGTCATATAAACAGCCCCTAAGTCTGAGGAACGAGGACAGAAATTTCCTGCTGATGACGTGTCACTACCCTGATCTGGGTAGTGCTTCTGACTGGTCGTGCAGCGAGGAAAATTTGCTTCAACCAATCAGAAGCATTAACCAGATTTGGGTAGTGACATGACGCCTCATCAGTAAGGAATTTCTGTGGTACTTCCCCGGACGTCATTTCACGGGGTAACCAGGGTAAACAGGGGTGGTGTCGCGAAATGCCGGCTGTTTACTCAGTGGCTGCGATGTATTACAAGCCATTTGTACATTTGTTGGATAAGCAATTACAGCAGAAAAGTAATTTCGTTTGAACTACAGCTGTCGGGCAAAGAAGAATGTTTGAAATTAATTAACATGCGATGAATTATTTTGCTTTCCTTCTCTAGTCAGCGGAAGGGTCGAAGCCGGCTGTTTGTTAGCTGTTATGGGCGCAAGGTGAGGACAGCTTTTCAGCCTTTAAAAGCCTTTTAACCCTTTAGAAGCCAAGAGTGATCAATGTCAATTTTCTCCTCTCGACATCAACACATAATCACCAGAAAAGGTCACGAGAATCAATTAAATGGTTGCCAATAGCAAAATACTTTAACCCTTACAAAATTCTCTCAAATAATTCTTCGAGGAAAATTTTAGTTGAAGATTTTGGTGCTTAAAGGGTTTATTTATCTTACTCTCCTCTTCCTTTTTTTGTTTATTAGTTTGTTCATATTTACTTTGTTTACTTTGAAACGCGACTTCAGTTTTAGTTTGTAATTATTCTATTTTTTTTTTTTTTTAACCATCGCATTTTTTTAATTACTTCCGCTTGAATATTGTTTCAGGACCTCTCTAGTCTGTGATGTAGTCAGGATAAATTTGTTAGTTGAAGTAAAATCAAACGATGTTTCGGTGTCATAGTGACGCTCGCATTTCCAATTTCAAAAAAGTATTTTGTAAATATTTAAAATAGTGCATGCGATTAAAAAGATGCACTGACCGGGAATCGAACCCGGGCCTCCCGCGTGGCAGGCGAGAATTCTACCACTGAACCACCAGTGCAACTCGCGGTTTGAAAAGATGCTCAGGAAATAGTTCAATGAAGATAGCGCAAAGCAAACAAACAAAACGAAACAAAGCAAAAATGCTTGGCTTCTGCTGATATATGTGGGAAACTTAAAACTAATTGAACAAAGTCCGGTAATTTTATTAAAAGAAACAAAGCCCGGAGAATCCTTCCGACTTACCTTTCATACTTCTTTACAAACCACTGATAAAAATGATCTTATTTGTTTGCTTGATTTTTAATTCCTTTACAGGTACCATAATCATTCGTGCAGATTTGTCCTGTAGTGAAGTATGTGAATTATTTTAAAATTATAGAAAATTTATGTATAATCTCAAAAAAACCCCGCACTCTTATAACCAAGCACTGGTGGTTCAGTGGTAGAATTCTCGCCTGCCACGCGGGAGGCCCGGGTTCGATTCCCGGCCAGTGCATAAATTTTTCTTTTCTCTCTCCACTTTTAAATTTGCGCTTCAAGCCACGGTACGTGTAAAACGGGTGACAAAAACGTGAAACTTATTTTTTAAAATTGCTGCAAAACTAGTTGAAGAGAGATATTACGCATTTTACCAACCACGTTCAAATCTGGTTGTTCCAAGTTTCGTGAATACGGCCTTCTGATTGGATAAAATTACGCAAGAGTCACACGATATACGGGAGTTAGGTCACTTCCATATCACTAAAAATCACTGAAACAAGGTTTGATTCAGAGCCCATTTATTATTTTTGAATAAACAATATGTTTGCAGTCTGCGTGCCACACTTGCACTTGAACACTTTAATTATAATAAATAATTATAATAAATTAAGCGCTCATCTTTTATCCAGTTATGAATATCTCGTAAACCTGTCGATATCAGTCGTTGTACTTCGTGCATACGCCTTAAATAAATGTATAACAATGAGCCCAAGGTCTCTCCCGCGACCTTAAGGCAAATTCAAAAGTGGAGAAAAAAAAAATTGATCTGCGCTGGCCGGGAATCGAACCCGGGCCTCCCGCGTGGCAGGCGAGAATTCTACCACTGAACCACCAGTGCTCGGCTATATCAGTAGACAATTTGTTTTGATGATATCAGAAACTTTTATACAATTGTAATAATTGACATGGTTCAATACTGAACAAATCTGCGCGCGGAATAATTCTAGTAAACCGTCCGTGTGTGGGGGAAGGGGGTGGGGAGGGTGAGGCAGCGGCTCCACCCGAAAGGGGCACCATTTTCAGACTTTTGGTCTGTGAAAGGGTCGGGATTTGTCTTGTTAAAGTATCTGAAAGGGGAGGGAAATCTGTCAGGCATTTTGACAGGTAAACTGAGGTCTTAAAGAGCCAACAGATGCTTTATATTTCTGTGAAATAAAGTAAAGGAAACGTTCTGGGTTTGTTGGAAAATTTCAGATGTTTTCCACAATAAATTATCCGAACTCCTGCCTAAAACCATAGCAAGAACAGCAACTCAACTCAACGGATGAAGCAATAAATAAGGGACATTGAGAACAAATCAGACTCGAGATTTTTTAATCTTTAATGACACAACTATTTGTTTAATTTACAACTAAGAGTACAGTTGTATAACCCCATAGTGAGCCTCTTAATTATTATTCAGTGGAGCTGGTAAATCCACCCTGATGAATGTGTTAGCCCATCGAAACATCAATCAAATGGATGTCATGGGAACTGTGGAGGTAAACGACCGACCAATTGGACGGGAAATAAACGCCATGTCGGCTTATGTTCAACAAGATGATCTGTTCGTTGGATCGCTCACTGTCAGGGAACATCTATTATTTCAGGTGAGTAAAGTAGTTGTATACTAGTATTAGAGGGATTAAGATTCACGTTTACGCCAAACGGTAAACGTGAATTTTTACCACGTGACCAAGTTTTCCCCTTAATTGTCGTTTACTGTTTATTACTTCTACACAAAAATACCGTAAAATTCCGAAAATAAGCCCGTCCTGGTATAAGCCCCTCCAAAAATAAGCCCTCCAAACTGGTAACGCAAAAAAACCCTCCGTTAAACCGCCCCTCCAAATATAAGCTCTCCAGGGGTTTCTACTTGGAAAATTGCCCTCAAATACAAAGTAAAACAAAGCAAAAACGGTAAATTTACTTCCAACTATAAGGCTAGCCTGTAAATTGACAGGAATACACCGAACTGCTAAAATTAATACATATTTTCCCTCCGTTAGAATATAAACTCTACCGCGAGCCCTTTTCTGTGCACCAATCGATTTTGAAACGCAAATTTCCCTCCCGTAGATAGGCCCCTCCGAATGTAAGCCCCTCAAAAAATAAGCGCCTCAAAAAGGGCCTCTGAAAAATATAAGCCCTGGTGCTTATTTTTGGAATTTTACGGTAAGTAGTTTCACGCCAGTGTTATCCATAATAATTGTTCTGGGCAGTTTTTATCCGCTCATTTTCTATTCTGAGAAATTCTCAACTTGAATCTGCCGTTTGCCGTTTGCCGTAAACGTGAATCTTAATCTCACTATTGTCATTTATCGGTATTGCGATCTAATACTGGAAGTACAAGTAAATGTCTCGCAAAACTCGGTTTTAATAGCGCCTTTCAAGTTGAGCTTGCCGTGTCGGGAGGGGCTAGGAACTGAATGGGTGACCCCTCACATCAATCAAATGTGACCTGCCGCGAATATCTTGTTGTTAAGAGAGAGTAGCAAAGGGGGAGGGGGGCTGGGGGAGGGGGTCATGTTTTCATTTCATGTACAAATTTTGATAAATTTCAGGTATGACTTTGGTTATAAACCAATTTTCACGAGTTACGAATCTCACCTATTTATCAAAGGGGCTAAGAACCGAAAAACAGTAATCTTGGATCCCAATTCGCATTATATTTGACGATTACAGTTCTCCCCGCTTCTCCTCTTAATGTCAGTAGGGCGATCTAAAAGGGCGTTGACGAGCAGTCACGGATGTGGGAAATTCGTGTCTCCAGGTGTCTTGCGTTCAAATTGAAAACAAATCAACGCCCCCGATGCGACTTCTTTTTACCCTCTAGCGACTACAGCCTGCGTGGTTTTTTGGTTAGTTTTACTCTTTTGCTCTCCTCGAGCACGCGCATGTGTCCTCGAAATTTCTCCCTTCGCCCTAACAAAACCGGTGCCTTCAGTGCAGGCGACAGCGACGAGGCCTTTCGTTAGGGCAATTCTGTCAATTTTAACACGAAAACGAAGCAACACTAGAATCAAAAACGTAAAAACGGATATCGAACTTGGAATAAAGAATGCTGATCTTAAATGAAACAATAGTCACACTTAAAAAAAGCGAATATTGATCAGAATGAAGGGAATATCAAAGTTGTTAAACGAGTGAAACAATGGAATCTCAGTGATTTGAAAAACGCGCCATAGTTCTTGTCATGCTTATCAAAATCATATTAAATTAAACTTAAGTTAGTAGGTTAGTGAAGCATCCATCGAAGTTGGTTTGAATCAATTAAAGCTCATCATGATCAATGAATAGCAAATTCGGAAAAAAGTCGTAGTTTTTCTGCTGCAGTTTATATGCAGTTAAGCCGGTTTGTACATTAGAATGCCCGTTCGTCTTTTTGGTATCTTTTGTAGCTACCAACTGCTTTTTGTAATGATGACCTCAATGTATTTAATACCAACTCTCTCGTGTTCCCCGCCTTTATAAATTTCAAGAGTAAGGCCGTTGCTAAGCTTCAGTCGTTCGCTGTATAGTGCCGTCTTGTTATAGGCGCCATCTTGAGCAGTAAAGCACGATCCCCGTAGCTTGTGTACCTTCAGAGTAAAGACGAATTCGTCTGGATAAAATCGGTCGCTTATCTGTGAAGATGTGGCTTCTTTTTCCTCTGTCCCTTTTAGAATATCCCCGGATGTTCCCTCGATCCCAAAACATGGGGCATAATTTGGATAATTATTTATGTCAACTGTTTGAAACCCAATAAAATTGGTTTCATCGGACAGGCCAAATATTGGATCGCTGTCACTTGATTGTCCAATGATGACGTCAGTGTTTACTGTTATATTAACGGTCAGCGGAGTTTCGTCTGACAGTTGGCCAGCGGCTAACAATGGTACTTTTAAAACAGCTTTGTATCGTTGAGCTTGGCGGATGTCATCGTCTCCTACGAACGTTATCTGATGAGTTGTCACGGAATAATGAACGTCGATGTAGGTAGCATGGGCTTCGAGCCACAAAGGAGTCATGTTATACGTTTTATTGGTGAATGGTTTCTATGACAGAAAAAAAAAAATAAATTCGACCGTTGCTTAATTATAAAAAGCATTTTAAAAAGTGCACAATCCTGCTCGCCATAGCGTATGGGTACCTGCGACGTCGATTTTGTCGCCCGTTCTTCATCAAATCGTCGGTTTTACATTGGAATGGGGCAAAGCGATCGTTGTAAGAAATACTCAAGCAGAGGCTCTCTAGTAGTTCAGTGCCGGGATAGGACCTCCGACCCGGAATTCTGAGTTCGAATTTCATCTAGAGCTACCACTCGGAAACTTCAATATTATGTCGTACAGCCTTGGTCTTGTACACTGGTGGACGGCCGATTTCGAGCAATTCCCCGTATACCTCAGTGGCTAGTGTAGTTAAACTATAATTAAAATTTCGACCCTGCTGGTCATAAAGTATCTACTACATAGTGGTTAGAGTGTGTGAAGTAATGAACTCCGCGGGTCTTGTGCTATATTTTTTTTTCGGAACCCGGAAATTTTTTTGGAGCTTTCTGATGGCAGATTTCTCTTCTAAATTTAATAATAATAACAATAATAATAATAATAATAATAATAATAATATTATTATTATTATCATTATCATTATTATTATTATTATTATTATTATTATTATTATTATTATTATTATTAAATATAAAAAATTAAGGTCGACCACCTTTGCTTACAAAAGGCTAATAATAGGGAACAAGACTTGCATACATCTCAACATAAGGGATCTCTGTTCATAAATCTGGCGCGACCTTTTTTTGACCGAACATTTACCTTCATGGGGTAACTGCTGTAGGTGTAACCAGTGTTCACTTTATAGTCCCCTGGGTCGGTTTCCTTATCTGCATCATTCAGCTCACAAATCGAACCAAGAGACTTGAAATTTATGCTGCGACAGCGACGTTCCTGCGAGCATGTAATTAGACACTGGCCAATATTTTTCACATTTGGAGTAGAGATCAAATGATTTCTAAGATAATAACCTTGCTGAGAATATGCCGCCTTCTTACAGTGTTGCGTAGACGCGGCGATCATAAGAAAAGACGCAATAACTAGTATAAATAGGAAAACCAGCTTCATCGCTAGCTAAACTTTGAGTTGATTAAGATTGCCCAGAGAGTTCTGGAAGGAAGCTGTGCAGCTGTTGGAAATGAATTTTTGATGAAAGATCGCGCTTTTTTATTCAAGTGTACAAACGTGTTTTTTTTTTGTTTTTGTTTTTTTGTCTTGTTTTGTTTTGTTTTGTTTTTAATTTAATTTCTTGTTTGTTGAAAACCATCACTACTTCCCCCTGAAACCCTTCAGTTACTCACTTTGTAATTTTCAGTCCAGTAATTGTTACGTGTCATCCAGAAACTATTGTTTTGAAGTGATATTTTTGTCTTTTCGTTTTCATAATTCAAGATTGCCTGTACTGAGTCAGCAGGAATGTTTTTCCATTGTACGTTTATAGTAGTATCTTATGCTGTGCCCCGCTGTCAGATTCATTAACAAAAGTTTCAATCGATTATTTTTCAGTTGAGCGATGGAATAGTCTATTAAGCTTTTTAAATATATATTTTAAAAATTTTAATTCATACCGCGTTAGGAAATATTTGAAGGATCACAATGTGATTTACATTTTCTGGATTATGAACTTTAAATGAAGCAATTAAAATTAATATAAAGCTGTCGATAGGTTGAGCATTGTGGAAGAGAAACTGTCACTTTTACTATAGAACTTGAAGACTACAATAAGTTTTTCATTTGTTTGTTTGTTTTTGTTTGTTTTTTTGTTTTTGTTTGTATGATTGTTTTGTTTGTTTGTTTCGTTTTTAAAGGCACAGACTTTTAGGGTCGTTTATTTAAACCGGGTTTAGCCAGTGATTAACAAACCTTGCGATGCGGCCCATTTTCATTTTGCCTAACGTCTTTATATAAACAACGTTTATCGCGAACAGTTTTATGGAAGCATCTAGGATAGACTAGAGAAATATTTACCTTTTTACAGTCTTCTTTATAGGAAGAGATCTGAAAGGGGCAGTAATTTCGTTAAGCGCAGCCTAAGTTATAATTCGTTTAAACAAACCGTTACAGCAGCCTTTCAAAAATTCTAAAACCTAGCCTACCTTAGTTTGTATATAAAAATTTTAAAAGTCACGCTTTTGTCCAATGAATGTAGAGCATCAAATTGGAGAAACAACAAAGAAACAGTCCTGGGAGCAGTGTCAATTACTTGCAAACTCTGAACCAACAACTGCGATTGAAAATAGCATTTTGAAAAAATATTTTAAAAAATGTGTTTTCACATGGAGCAAATAAACCAAAAGTAACTTTGTTGGAAGATTATTTTACTGGCGGTAGCCACTGCGTTTGACTAAAAAAGTATGAAATATTGGAAAAAGAACTGACAGTACTAATAAAACTTTTGTCGTTAAAATTCTCTTTGTTCTTGATTTGATCCTGCAGCTATTGCACTCGCAATTCCCGAAACTTTATTTAGGACGCATGTTCCATTAAGGTTCTGATCCGAGCTTGGAATCGCAAGTAATATTTTTCAGCTCCAAAGCCAACACTTATTTTCACACTAAAAAATTGAGTCGAGCCCTCACTGTAGTAAAGAGGTAGAGTACGAGTACTCCTCCATTTTTCCTCAGGGATAAAAGAGCGAACAAAACGCGAGCGTGCGTGAAAATCACCCCATCTCTCTCCCTACAGCGCATCGCCTTTCTCGCGTGCCTTCGGCTCGGCTGATAACACTTACCTCGTCCTTGATTATTCCGGATATCACAAAACCCTCATCCAATGATTGTTTTTTATCAGTCACCATCTTGTTTTCCCCATAATGTCTTTTTATTGGCTAAGAGCCAAAAGTTAATTTGCAAAATCGGCGCAATCTACTAATAGCTATATATAACCTACAATGTATAGGTGATTGGTAAAGAAATACTCAAACTGTGCTCAGTGAAAATGGACGCCGCCAAACAATGGAAAGCTTAATAAAATACAATGACGCTTGTACACTTTATTTCTTAGCTTTTAATAATCCCAACCAACTAGCTTGAATGAGCTATAGGAACGTAAAAGAAATCATCATTACCATCGCCGTCTTCATCATCATCATCATCATCATCGTCATCGTCACATTTATTGATGGGACATAGTTTAATAAGTTAGTGAAGCACCCATCGGAGAGTTTTATGAGTTTATGAGTTTATGTTATTAGTTTTTTTGTGTTGAAAATAGTATCGTCTGTTCCTACTAGCTACTTTTTATTATGTGGACCTCAATGTACTTAATGCCAACTCTCTCTTTTTTGCCATCTTTATAAACTTCAAGAATAAGACCCTTGCTAGGCTTCAGTCGCTTGCTGTACAATGCTGTCTTGTTAAAGCCGCCGTCTTGAGTAGTAAAGCACGATCCCCACATCATATGCGGTTTCAGAGTGAAGATAAACTGTCCAGGATAGACACGTTTGCTGATCAAGGGAGTATCCATATCAATGTACTCTCTTTCTTTTAGTAATAACCCTGATGTACCCTCCGTTCCAAAACAGGGAGGGTTGGTGTCATAATTGTTTGTGTCAACGACTTCAAATCCCACAAAATTGGTTCCGTCTGATAGGCCATAAGATGGATCGCTGTCGACTCCGGTGTTGATTTCATTGGTTGCAATTATTTTAACGGTCAGCTGAGCTTGATCTGGAAGCATTCCAGCAGGTATCAAAGGAATTTTCAATAGAGCCATGTCAGCTGAATTGGGGATCCTTTCATCTGTTATCTCATGAAAATTTACTTGATCATCGTCAATGGAGTGAAAATTGTCGATGTATGAGGCATGCGCCTTGAGCAACTGTGGAGTCATCTTGTACACTTTGTGGTTCAGTGGTGCCTATTAAAGTGAAATATATGTTCACGTCGAGACCTTAAATTTACTACTAAGATCAGTGTAGCTAGGGCCGGTCAGTCAGGGTGAGAGCATCCACTTCCACAAGGCCAGAGCTGGGCTCAATATTATAACAACTTTCCATCTTTTATTTGTTACACTTGGTGTTAAATCTTACTTTCATCCCTTGATATGTCTAACCATATTAATCAGTTGGATAAGCCCACGGTTTATGTTCAGTTTTCTAGAGCCCTTATGTTACTATTTCTCTTACCTTGTACCTTGAACTTGTGGAAAGTAGTTCTACTGGCTGAAACTATATCGACCATCTGAAAGACTGAAATCTTCCGTTCCCTAGTGATTTCCGTTGTATTATATTTAGTTTATACCTAGAGTGTCTGATATGCCCAATATGCACATCTTTCTTGATAGGGACGCATAAAAAATCCACAAATTAAATTTTTCATAGCTATGGGAAAACGACGCTCCATAATACTGCAGGTTTGGTAGCTGTTTCTTGTGGCAAATTTTCCTTAAATACTATCATGTAGGATTCAAATTCGTGATTGCTCTTGGGTATATCATATTATTTATATCCATGCTTGGAAGTCTGGTCTTTAGGTTTCTTGACATTTGGAGTTGCAATAGCTATTTTTTTCCTCAAAGATCTTTGTTAAAAATGCCGCATCATATAAATTTATTTTGACTCTCACCTTGATGGGGTAATCGCTGTAGGCATAGCCATCGTTTAATTGGTAGTCTCCAGGTTTGATTTCCCTGTCAGCATCATTTAGCTCACAAATGGAACCAAGAAACTTAAAATTGATACTCCGACAACGCTGATCCTGCGAGCATGCGACCAAACATTGGCCGATATTTTTAACGTTTGAAGTAGAGATCAAATGATCTCTGAGGAAATATCCCTGTACTGAATATGCCACTTTTTTGCATAGTTGCGCAGAGCCAACATTGAGAAAAAATGGAATAAATAGAAGAACCAATGTCATCGCCAGAATGTGAAACTAGTTTACAACAGTAAACAGCATTCTTTTGTGCCTTGGGTATTGGCGCATGACGGTAACAAACTTGATAAAACTTTTAAGAGTCTATTTGTATGAACAGCCCTATAAAATATTAATTGAAAATTACTTTTAGAAGAGATTGTTGCCCAGTGATTGCATTGGGTGTTCTTGCTAAGAATATTCACCTCAAGAGATTTGTCGAGTGGTTATCTTACTCAGAATTTGACTCAGACAAACAAAAATAATACGGTTTGAAACAGTTAAGTTAGGCTCCATACTGAAAACGTTTCTCGGGAGTTGTGGCCACTATTAACTATCACAGTGCATCAGCAAACCGTCAGCAAATCGTCTTTAAGGACACTTATGGACCTTCCACTAACGGGTCCCACAGTGAATTTAATTTTATTACTCAGACACGAAGCTGACCGAACAAACTGGAACAATTATTAAGACTGTTGTTCAAAAAACAATGAGTTCAAATTTGACCCTTTATTTTAAGTTTTAAACTATAAAAAAAAATCTCAATGTTTGTAAATTACAAACTGTATTGACCCGGAAATTGCAAATACAGTTGTCAAATGATATGTATAGTATAATTAAGGATTGTAAATCAGAATAAGTTTGTTTGCAATGTATTGAGACAATGTTCAAGGAAACTTCAATAAAATATGCCCTGATCTGCGAATTGTAAGAAGACATTCTTGAAATTCAAAGTCCGTACAGTTTAATAGTTCATTTTTTTTTCTGATTGTTTTAACTTAACACCATGATCGGCATAAAATTTTTATTACTCCCAAGAAAACTTATGTTGTTTATTTATTCATTTTTACTCAAGAGATGATTTAGAAGTAAATTTTCGAAGTGTCCTTGCGGTGCTTATTTCAGTAGAAATTCCCCTGTTTTGAAATAGCTTATGTCTAATATTAATTTTAATCGTAATCATTTTTCACTCTGTCTCCTTGTTTTATTTATTTATTTATTTATTTATTTTCAGCAAAACACTACACCATCAATTTATATACAAAGAGCGCAAAACTTTTTCATTGAAATATTTCAGGCTTGTGCGATACAAGGCAGTACCAGCCATTGCTCTACCAATTGAGCTAACAAACTAACTGGGATTTGGTACAAGCCTAATTATTTTCAGCTTTACTTTTCGCAGCACGCAAGAGTTGTTTTCGATAACTTGGATGATCTTTACTGATATATATAGTTGAATTATTCGTTCCGAAGTTCAAACATTAACGCGGGTTTGCAACGAAACAAGTTCATTTCACGTTCCGTTGACATCAATGAGATGAACATCGCCTGTAATACATGAACATTGCTCTACACTCGGTCATTCAATCACACATGATAAAGTAGAGGTTATACTCCTGGAGGACAACACTCTAAAAAGGAAGATCAAGGAGGTTGTAGAAGACGGCCCCTGTCTTGTCCCTGATGGAGGGCTAGAACTAAAAACAAACTATGGCACAGTTTTCTTGTCATGTGACCATCCTGAGGTCAAGTGACTACAATGTAACCTTGCTTTCACTTCGACTGATGAAAGCCAAGCGATTTGCCTGAATTATGTCGATTAGAGGAAAATATTTTATACGTTTAAGTCTAAAAATTATTCTCATTGATAAACGGCCGTTTAAAATGAACAGGTTGATTTACCAGCTTCCATTTGGATTATTAGCTTGCTCCGCCCGTATTGGTAGGGTAATGAAGGGGTCATGGGTTCGAATCACGAAAGTTTTCTCAATTTGACTAGTCTCTACCGGTCGGGAAGCAAGAAGGGATTTGGCATGCTATATTTTTTGCAAAGAAAAAGAAACGTTACTGGTTTCCACGGGTAAAGGGAGTTCTGTAATAACTAATTTGTATAAACTATTAGAGACTACCACAGGTTAACATGGTTCGGTATACTTTAGTAAAAAAGAGAATTTTCCCAGAGCCTTAAACCTGATCGTAGAAAACAGAATGTAGTAAAATTTATGATAACCGAATAGGCCATTTCCAAGTTCCAAAAACCCTCTCTTTCAAAATGAAGCCAAGTGCACAACCTTTCTTGTGAAAATGAGTTTTATTTGCATGAGAATGAAATTAACTCATTTCCATATCAAAGACTGAGCACTTGACCTCGTTTTGATACAGAGGCCCGGAGGAACTCGAAAATGGCCTATTTTTCTCCTTCTCACATAAATTTTTGTTCCTAGGCTTTTCTGCGCATGGACAAACACGTCCCAGGTCACCAGCGGAAAGAACGCGTCGAGGAAGTTATACTACAGGTATGAACCTTTGTAAAAAAAAAGAAAACTGCCTTGAAATTTGAAACAGCTGCCAAAGGCATGCAAACACCTGTCAGTCCTAACGTATTGGGTCATCTATTAATTTCCTCACTTCCTAATCAGCAAACAAGCTCATATAAAGGAAGCCTGAAAAATAAATAAATGTCCATTTTAATGACATTCGACCTTTTTTTTAAGTTTTCCTTCTTGGCAATGGACACTTATTTCGTGGTATCCTGGGCCGGCCATGGCGAACTTTTAGTAAACTATGTTATGGCGCATTCAAGGCTAATTTGCTGGTCATTCGTTTGGGGATAACATTTCGAATGGAATGCGAAAAAAAGTTGTTTTTTCTTAAATCACATTTATTTACCCATGTAAATAAAGGGTGGCACAGGTTGATATTTATTAATTGTTGGCACAAATTTGACAAAACTTTATTTTATTCGATAGTGATATCATATTTCATTCAAAGGATTCACGGAATCTAAAACTTCAAAAACAGTACTTTCCTCTGTGATCGTGTTCAAAGAGAGACCTGTCTTATTGCAGTGAACTGCTTCCTCTTGAAGGCAGGAGATCGAAAAGAAAAACAGAGACAACGAGATATTTCAGACAAGTTCTTTTATTCAGACTTATCCTATGCATGCTGTGTTTGATTGATTGATTGATTGATCGATCTATTGGTTTATTGTTTGATTGATTGATTGATTGTTTGTTTGTTTGATTGACTGACTGACCGACGACTGATTGATTGATTGATTGACTATCTGACTGAGTGATTGATTGATTGATTGATTGATCGATCTATCGATTTATTGATTGGTTGAATGATTGATTGATTGAGTGAGTGAGTGATCCATTGATTGATTGAGTGAGTGAGTGAGTGAGTGAGTGATCGATCGATCGATTGATTGATTGATTGATTGATTGATTGATTGATTGATTGATTGATTGATTGATTGATTGATTGATTGAAGCTCGGCCTAACTAAGTGTGCTGATACATTCATTGGAATACCTGGACGATTACGCGGAATATCAGGTGGAGAAAAGAAACGACTGTCATTCGCTTCAGAGGTATGATTAACCAACATTTTATCTGCGTATAGTGCCAAGGTAAGTAACTAAGTAATTAGTTTGAAGTTTGAAGTTTATTAATTCGTAAATACATAGTAGTTCGAAAACTGAATTGCGTATTTACGTTACAAAAAACCAAATTATAGATCTAAACTTTAACTAATCTATCTTATTAAAATGAATAATATATAGATTTAGCCAGGGCTAAAAGCGAAGCTCCCGTTAATAAATTCATAATTTAAATCAAACAACAAACTTGTAATCCACAGATAGGGCACATTCATGTGACTTTTGAGGCAAATTAAGGCTAAGTGATTTTAGAGAAAAATAATTTGACAGTCCAAGAGTGAAACAAATTTTACATCGAGTTAATAGTCTTATTTGTACACCCAAAAATAGCAATCATGTTCGATCACATGCAGTAGATTAGGCCTGGAAAACAAATAGACCTATTCGTGTATTGTATTTG